CACACACACACACACACACACACACACACACACACACACACACACACGCACATCACAACACACACAATCTCTCCATGAGGCATCGAACCTTTTTAAGACTCCCTGAAAAGACACGTTGGTGTTAAATGTGTAACATCTGTATGAACTTTGGTTCCAGTTCCTTAACAATTATATAATCTATCTAGTCCTAAAACATGAATGTATTTATCTGTTTTCTTCCTTAAAGCATAACCTTGGTATCTTTCAGACTAAAGTCTGTTTTCTGACGGTGAACAGTTGTTTTTTCTTAACCTTTCCTTTGATGTGGTCAGTTGTTTTTATTGTGTCATGTGACTTGTTGTTGGACGAAGGTCAGAGTTCATCGTCAGATGACAGACAGCGTAGTTTAGTGTTTATCTAAAGGATTTTGAACGTCCTGGCTGAATATTTAGCTGATTTCAACGATGACGATGTGACGCCAGATTTCAGAAGGAGACACAAGAGGTAAAGAGAAAGCTTTTATTTCTCCATAACACCAACCTGAGATGTGTGTTATGATACTCGCTCTACCATAATAATGGTATGAAAGAAAAGACCTAGTATGTCTCAATACTTAGCATTTCACATGCAGCTCCACTATCTACAGTCTCTACAACGTCACATTTGCAGAATGAAATGATCCGATTTAAACTTGAGTCAGTGCTGACGAGGCGGACGCTGCACATTAAACACAGTCTTAAATAGAAGTCAGCAGAAGGGATCCAGTGAGCTCTACTCACCCGTCTTACCTGCCATCACACAGATGTAAATACAGTCAGAGTTGTTCCTCTGGCTCACTGAGACACACAAACACACAACACACTGTAGCTGTAGATATAAATATATATATATCACATGATGAAGAGACAACAGGAAACACGTGCTATGGATCTATGAACTCACACCCACCTGATAATATGGAGGCAGATTTAAAGAGCTCGTGAAGGTAGCTGGTGGAGTTCCCCATCACGTCCAGCAGGATGGCCGTGAAGTCTGAGGACAGACAGAGTGAAGAAGGATTAATCAACTGAAACACTGGGAACTCAAATGAAACATACTTCAGGAGCAGCTCACCTGTGAGGTCGTTGGTCTCGTTTGTGACGCAGTAGCAGAATCTTCTCCTGAACTTGTTGCTTTCTACACTTTTAATGCTGGAAACTGAAGAAACAACACAGACAGCTGTTCAGTTCAGAGATCAGAGATGTGACAGATTACAGGCTTCAGGTTTAATACAGTGCAGACAAAAAGAAACACCTTCTCTGTGTTGAGAGCTGATGTAAATATTGAGTTAGTTTAGAGGCAGAAAAAGACCTTAAAACAGCTTTTACACTACTGTCACAGACACAAAGGGAACTACTGCAGACAAGCTAACAGCATCTGATCAGAATGTAACACACATGTTAGTCCTGTTTTCATACTGTACGTCTCATTTCAGTAACATCCAAACATGTGTGGTCCTTTCACACTGGATTCTACAGCTCACTACAGACAGCTACACATCCAAACCACTAGATGGCTCTACTGACCAAGTTATATTTATCATAGAGGTGGACCCAGTAATGCTGACTCCTCCCACTACACCGTCACTAACATCATGTTGAGATCCAACACAAGATATAGCAGTTATCTCTTGTTATATATACGTATGTATAGAGTTTTATGTATATTTACTGTTGTAGACCAGCAGGGTGAGCTTATGCAGAGCCAGAGAGCTGTAGGACGTCACACTGAGGAGGGAGAAGAGCTGCCGGGAGCCTGAAGGACAACAAGAGACACCAGGACCAATGTTAATATAGGATGCATATGCATGAGAGCATGTTTAACCTGGAAGCTTTCTATTGACATCAATGAATGTTAATCTACCGCTGACTGAGGCGACACAGTGGTGATTGAACCTATGACCCACTGATGAAGGTATTGCAAACACAACATCTCCTGCTGAACATTACAAGCATTCAGTTGGTGAAACACAAGTTTATTAGGAAGTACTCACAGGAAGTGCCGCCATCGTTTATCATAAATGCGTCTACAATACAAGATATCGGTTGTTCTTTGCCAGAGGATCAGTTTGATGTTTGTCAGGGAGAAATCAGAAGAACAGCGAGGAAACCTGCATGAGATCAGCCATCAAAGACATCACCTGCTCACAACGCAACTCAAACGACCAGAATAGAAATGATTTGTACCAGACGGAGCTGCACCAGGTTCATCTATAGAGCCGTGACCACATATGCATAACTTATCAATTTCAACTGAGCTGTGCTTCACAGTAGACCAGGGAGGTCAGAATATGTTCCTTAACGATAACGGAGAGATTATGAGGACGTTTTAGATGCAGAGCAGAGAAAAAAGAAAAGTCTGTGACGTAAAGACACGTTTACATTTCATAACATACAAAACCCTTGAAGGAAGCATTAAAAGTGATCAAATTATACACAATATCCCCTAAATGTCACCACAAAATGCAGAACATACTGTGACGAAGCAGGTTTTTTTCAAAGGCTAGTTCACTAAAAACACATTTTCACCTTTTGGTTCGACAGTCTGAGCCCGAAAACAACGGAGGAGAGCAGGGTTCAGTTTGTGCTGCTCTCAGTATTCAATTACATTTTAAGACCATCAACGTCTGGTGGGTCTTAGTAGTCTATACATGCTCTGTTTTATTGTAACTACATGTTTTTGAGTAGTGTGTGTGTACGCTGTTTCAGGCAGAAAGATGTGTTTCTGTCTCTTTGAGCAGCACAAACCCAGTTCCATTCACCTCCACTGTTTATGGCTGCAGGCCGACAATTTAGAGGCGGATGTCACAAAACATCAGCAAAAAAAAAAGCAAAAGGTCTCTGTGTGGAGATCCTGTCTCTCTAATAGTGAGACAGGTTTGTGATGCGAGTGAACTGGTCCTTTAAATCGGACATCGTAAGAAGATACGCAGTCCTGCAGTTTGACCTCTGGAGGAACAAGAAGAGCTCTGAAGGTTTAATCACGACGTACATGAGAGAGCTACAGCTCAGAATCCATCTCCACATGAATGATATTATGACGACGTACCCGATTGGCTCGTATTCACTAAAGTATTGACCAGCGGGGTGAGGTCGATGGCAGCTGGGTCGATGTGCTCTGCTGGGATCTCTGGGAAATAAAAGCAGACAGCAAAGTCAATGGGAGCTTATTCTGAGTTTAACCTCTGTTATGGAATTAGCCACATCAGCAAAATGTGGCCGTATACTACAACAATGACCCAGAGGACTAAGTCCCCGGGGTGATAGTTATTATAATAACCAGGGCGCAGTGAAGAGGTTGCTGAATATGAGACAGAAAAATCTGTCAATAATTTCATAATTATCCGTCTTTTTGATACAAATCCAAATGAGGATGAAACAATGGAGTATAAGTGTGTAATTGTAGGTTAACAATAATAACATGGCAGAGCCTGTGAGGGGGGGGGGGGGGAATGTTCCCAGAAAGAAACTCACTAAATAGCTTTAAACGTATGAAAAATAATAATTTGCGAGATTTTAAAGTCATAAATTTACTAGAAAGAAAACATGGAAGTAAAAACAAGTGGGAGGTCTGCAAGGTTGGATCAATGGAAGCGGTCCTTGTAAATCCTCTAATTCTAGTTTCTTGTATATTTGTATTTATTTACTCTCCTGTGGTGTTAGGGTCCGAAGATTTAAGAACAAATCACAAATGAAAGACGATGTGTTGACGTGTTAGTATTAATGTTCTTCAAAAACTACATCATTTAGCAGATCTTCATTAGCCATACTGTAAACAAACCGTTAATAATAATAATAATAACAGAAACAGTCAAGCTGTGAAGTTACATATAAAAATAAAGTATTCAGATTGAGTGTGTTGGGCTGTGAATGATTGTGACTGACATGTAACATGAAAGCATGCTGACGAACAGAGTGGAGTGATGCAGATGATGAAGATGATGAAGATGATGATGATGATGTAATGATGATGATGTAATGAGGATGATGTAATGAGGATGACCTGTGGAGTTCAGGACGACGTCTCTTCTGCGTCTCTCTTCCTGCCGTCCGTCTCTTAACGCTGTGAAAGAATCAAACAAAGAAAAGTTACATTTTTACATTTTTAACTGGCTCATTTATTTGTTTGATATTAAAAATTTCATTTCTGCATCAAATTATTTTTCTGTGCCGTCTCACTTTTAGCTTCAACTTTGTATAATTTTTTATATGTTACGTTTCTTTTCTCCTTTTTTGTTAAAATCTAGTCGGAGCCACAAAAATGATTATTATTTTAATAAATGATTATTAATTGTTGTTGTTGTTGTTATTGTTATTATAATTATTATGGATGTCACAATGTTAGATTTTCATAAAATGGGAATGACCCCTGAAGCTGTAACCTTCATGAGAAGAGAAGCTGCATCACATCGTTATGTAATAAATCACTTCTATAAGAAAACCACCAACTTAAGAAAACTGCCTTTAATTTAACTCAAATATGTTTCAAATGGTTTCTCCGTACATTTCAATGAGTGGGACAAAGAATATTACAATAGAACAACGACAAGAAACACAGATTGAGAATCCTCAGACCTGCTGACTCATGACGCCGTGCAGCTCTGCAGACCTACCTCGGCTGAAGAGGACGAGGAGTAAAGTGGAGGAGACGCCGATCAGAAGACAGAGGCGGTGACGCTGCGAGGTTCTCCGAGAGTCGGCCATGACCGAGCTGAGGAACCGCTGGAACCACAAGAACCACAAGAACACACAGGACCAGATCAACGACTCGACCGCTTCAGTTTGTGCCCGTCTCCTCACGTCTCCTCACGTCTCCTCACGTCTCCTCACGTCTCAGGTGAACTAGTCTCAGGTGAACTAGTCTCAGGTGAACTAGTCTCTAGTCTCAGGTGAACTAGTCTCAGGTGAACTAGTCTCTAGTCTCAGGTGAACTAGTCTCAGGTGAACTAGTCTCAGGTGAACTAGTCTCTAGTCTCAGGTGAAAAAGGGTTTTGAGTTTTTGAAAAGCATTTTTTTTTCTGGGCTCTACACAATGATGTCATCAGGTTTTTAGTGCACAGCACTCACACCAGTGGACCCGGGTCTCCCGGGTCTCCCGGGTCGCCTCACGTATACAACAGAGCTGGAAACAGAGACCGACCCTCGAGCTTAAATTACTAACAACAAATACTTTTTCTTCGCCAGAAATTGAGCTGCAGGTAAAAGATGAAGAAACGAACTAAATTCCCTCCAAATAAAAACTGTCTTGAAATGATTAAGACGAGACATCAGTGAGGTAAGAAGTGAATGAATAGACATCACCTTATCACCTTATCACCTTATCACCTTATCACCTGATCACCTGATCACCTTATCACCTTATCACCTGATCACCTGATCACCTTATCACCTGATCACCTGATCACCTTATCACCTGATCACCTGATCACCTTATCACCTGATCACCTGATCACCTTATCACCTTATCACCTTATCACCTGATCACCTTATCACCTTATCTCATTGAGAGGAAACGTCCTTTAAAGAGACGTTTAGTTACATTACAGACATTTAGAGACTCTACAGGTGAACACATGAACTCATAGATATCACCATGAAACTTCACCACTTCATCACTCACATTAAGAAGACTCTACAGGTGAACACATGAACTCATAGATATCACCATGAAACTTCACCACTTCATCGCTCACATTAAGAAGACTCTACAGGTGAATAGAGTCACAACATGAACTCACAGATATCACCATGAAACTTCACCACTTCATCACTCACATTAAGAAGACTCTACAGGTGAATAGAGTCACAACATGAACTCATAGATATCACCATGAAACTTCACCACTTCATCACTCACATTAAGAAGACTCTACAGGTGAATAGGGTAACAACATGAACTCATAGATATCACCATGAAACTTCACCACTTCA